GTTTATTTATAAATTTGTAAAAAAAAAATTCCAGGTATAAGTTATGCTGCTCGCTACATTTAGTGTTTGGACAGTCGGATTGAAGAGTTGTTTAGTTTGTGTCAATGGCATTTAAGTTTAGTTTCTTTCCTGGAAATGCCAAAATATAACCAGACGCGCATGGTTAGAGGTTTTGACTTAGTCTTCTAGAGACGGTCAATGACTTCGAGGAACTTGGACTTTGTAATGAGACTAATACAGATATTTGTTTATGTGGAAGGTAAAGTCTTTAAAGCCCACGGAGCTCTCTCTTATTCTATACTTTGATTATCTTAAAAGGGTCAATATGCACAGCCAATATATAATAGTAAAATGGGGTTTCAAGTCACGTTCTCAAACATCTAGAAGAAGGGCTCTAGAAGTCAATGAACTACAACCCAGTTATTCGCGCGTTTTGATTCCAATTTCCAGCACAGCACCCACCAACATTCTCCAAGTTTATACTCTCGATATTATACCTCTTCATTAACCAAGTTGTCTATATATACAACACAGCACCCACCAACATTCTCACAATCAATACACTTTCTCATCACTTCATATTTTACAAGGCATTTTCATTTGAAGCTTTCCTTCCTTCCACTAAAAGAAATCAACATGGGTGATGCAGAATCTTTGCATTCCGCTGATGAGCTGAAACGCCAGAAGAAAATCAAAATGGCCATCTATATTAGTATTTTCGTTGTGTTTCAGATCATAGTTATCACCACAATGAGTCTTACTGTCATGAAAGTCAAGACCCCCAGGTTCAGGCTAGGCAACATCAACGTCCAGAGCTTCGAATCTGTCCCGGCAACGCCTTCATTCGACACGAAATTCACAACCCAAATCAAGATCAAGAACTCAGCCAACTGGGGTTCCTACAAGTTCAATGCTGCCAATGTCACATTTCAATACCAAGGAGCGACTGTGGGAGTAATTAATATCGCAAAGGGCAAGGCTGGATGGCTTTCGACCATAAAAAGAAATGTGGAGGTGACTTTGAGTTCAAGTGGATTAACTGGTTCAAATCTGGGCAGCGAATTGAGCAGTGGGGTGTTGACGCTCAACAGCGTAGGCAGATTGAATGGAAAAGTTGCAATTATGTTCATAATGAAGAAGAAGAAGGCTACCAACATGAACTGCACCATAGCTTTTGATGTGGCTGCAAAGACCCTCAAATCTTTACAATGCAAATGAGCGGAGTAGCTAAGCATCCAGGCGTCATCTTCAGCATATGGATTGCGACTAGCTAGTTCGTGATTTGTGACTTTTCTTGTTCTTTTATTCTTTGTATCTTTGTGGCCATTGGATTTGTTATAGAGTTATAATGATATATTTGTTTTCGTTACCACTCCCCTGTAATTATTTATTTCATGATGATCTATTCTTTGATATTTACTTATTTATAGTCTGCTTCTTTGAAGTGCCCGATTATTCTCTAATGGGGGGGGGGGGGCAAGTAATCCTCAAGTTATACGTATTTCTAAATGATGACAATTGCCCAAATGCTGCAGCTAGGCTACGATGCAAAACAAAAAAAATGCTCCAGGGGGCCTCACTTGACTCTATATATTGCAAAGAAATCTCCAGTTTTGATACCCAATTGATCATCAGCCATGATGGAGCCTGACAAGTTCCCCATATTAGTACCTAAGAAATCAAATGCTATGGTAAACAGATTAAAGTTTGGACTGCTCACTTCCATTGTAAAGTTTGGACAACCTTTGTGAACAAATCAAATGCTATGGCGCAGTCCATTGTGGAAGACTTCCTCTTCTTCATGATAAACATCAATTCCGCCTCTACAGTCAATTTAGACTGGCTGCTTAGCATCAAGACCCCATTCCTCAACTCACTGCCAGAATTGGAACTGTTCGGCAATGCTTTTGAATTCAAACTCACTGTGACATCAATCTTTTTGGTGGAACGCATTCTAGCAACCAATTGGCAATGAGGGGAGTAGCCGTTAGAGCAGCTCCAGCGAGGGAGCCCAGCCCGAGTCTGGGGGGAAAAAAAAAAATTGGTTTCCAGCGGACAGCCCAGGCCCGAGGGAGGTGTGGGACCCACCAACCTGGGTTGGCCTGAAGGCAGGTTCCGCCCGAGGTCCAAAACGAGGGGAGTGACGTCAGCGCGACGTCAGGCTGACGTCGAGCATGTGGTATTCAATTTTTTTTTACCGTTGGCGTGTGTGCGTGTAAAAAAAAATTGAACCCGCGTGCACTGACGTCAGCGCGACGCAGGCCCAACGGCTGGAAGCCACGTGGCACGCCCCCAGCGCTCCGATTTGCTTCTACAGCCTTCATCCAACGGCTGGCGTTTTTCCAGCAATAAAACTATGAAAAAAAATCGAAATTTTTTTAAAAAAATACTAAAAAATTCTGTTTTTTTTTTCCCTATAAATACCTATAAATACCCTTCACTTTCAACACCAATTCTCATACATTTTATTCTACTTCTACTATTACTCAACATTTTATTCACTCTTCACTCAACATTTTCATATCTTTCACCTTGTATTTTTTTTTCTTATTTTTATGGCTTCTTCTATCGAAACCGGAGGGGCGTTTAGCACCATGGAAGATGTTTCTTTGTGTGAGGCTTGGCTCTGAGTTTGTCATTGTCCCGTGACAGGCAATGAGATGAAAATTTTTCATATGTGGAAAAAAATTCATGCCGAATTTTGCGAAAAAATTCCGGAGTCGCCTCGTACGGAAATGACATTGTTGAGTAGGTGGAAACTTCTCAACAAAGAGATGGCAAAATGGAGAGATGCCTTGGGAAAAGCGATGAACTTATATAGAAGTGGGGAAAATCGTACTAACGAGGTAAGTATTTTGTAATTTTCGTTTTATTAAGTTTAATGTCCTAATATATATATGTTGTTAATATTTATTGCATTTTCAATATGTTGTTAATATTTCTTGCATTTCCAATTGTTTCTTCATATTTCTTGCACTTCCAATTTATTTGTAAGGTTAATTGCATTTCCATTACTTTTATTTTGTTACTTGCATATCCAATATATTTTAAATATTTCTTGCATTTCCTTTTTTTTTTGTTAAATAGCTGATTCAAGCACAAATGTGGTTCGGTGCAACCGGGGGTGGCAAAAAAAGTTTCACCCATCATGAATGTTGGGAGTTGGTGAAATATTGTAAACGCTTCATAATTATTCCCACGGGTCCCGACGTTGTGTTAAACGAGATGCCTCTTCGTGATTCAACGACATCGGATTCACCTCCCGATTCTCCTATGAGTGAAGACTCACCCATCCAAAAGGAACCGAGGCCCATTGGCCGAAAGGCTTCTAAGGCAAAGAAAGCGGGTAATTCAAGCAATCATAATTCAAAGTTTTTGGAGGAAATTGCAAGGCAGAACACCGTAAGAATTGAAATGGAGCAGAAACGCCAAGATATGGAGGTGACAATTCATGCCGAGTGTGCACAAGAAAAGGAGTATTTGGGAAAAAAAGATATGCAGAAGATGGATCGGGAAACCATGGCGATGGATACAAGCCATATGTCCCCTGAAACAAAATAATATTGGAAGCTAGAACGAAGGGATGTTATGAGAAGAAGACTTTTCCAGGATGATGGGCCTAGCAACACAGATTGGTTAAATGATCAAAACCATTAAATTAGTTGGCATACCTTTTGTGTATTTTTATTTTTCATGTTTTCTATTAAAGTTGTTGTACTTCATGTATTTTATTTTAGTAGTAGTAATTCTTAATGACTTGTATTGGATTTCTTTATTTAATAAACAAAGCATTCAATAAAAGACCTTTTTATTCAACATATTCCATACATCAAACAAAACATAATTAAAATGAAGAAAAAACTACAAACAAGGCACAATAATTAAAAAAAAACCACAAACCAAACCATAATAAATAAAAAATAACACAACCAAACCATAATGAATAAAACATAACCAAAGCATCTATGCCCTATCATTCATCTTCATTGCCTTTCACAGCCTATAGATGCTCCATCAAGTCAAGTTGACGCCTTTCATGAATATACGAAGATTGCATCTCTGTATATCGATCTATCATCCGGGTCATGAAACGACCGTCCCTCACCAACGGTTTCGGCTCAAACGGTTCTCCATTTGGCCCCATGGGCCTTTCATAAATCCGGGTCAAGGCCGTATTTATTGGATCTGGTTCGTAGACCTCTAAAGCATCATAATCGTACTCATCCTCCACAATCATATTATGGAGGATGATGCAAGTCATCATAATGCTTCTCAGGATCTCCTCATCAAACATACGGGCCGCACCTCGAATAATCAACCACCGAGCTTGAAGGATGCCAAAACATCTTTCGACATCTTTCCTGTATCCTTCTTGATAGGTAGCAAATAATTTTTTCTTCTGGGATCGGGGATTTGGAATGGATTTGACAAATGTAGTCCACCTTGGGTAGATGCCTTCAGCTAGATAATACCCCGTCTGGTAGACTGTATTGTTGACTTGATAGGTGATATTGGGGCTTTGGCCTCCCAAAACATCGTTGAAGACCGGAGATTGACCCAGGACGTTAAGGTCATTTTGGGCTCCGGCAACTCCGAAGAAGGCATACCAAACCCATGTGTCGAAGCCAGCAACGGCTTCCAGGATGATACTTTTT